TCTATGACAGATGCAAGCAAGAGTGCTTTAGCTGGATGAGAATTGTTCCAGGGAAATCCAGGGATGTTCTGTCCATAAGTGTTTTCTGTTGGGGAAAAAACATGACACAATAATGTAGGAACTGGTTTATACATGTTCTCACATGGTGTTAGAAGCTGGTCTGGCCCAGGTGCCGCCAAGCCCTTTGCCTCCAAGGCCGTGCTGTGTTGCTTGGAATTTAATGGCTCCTTCCCGGGTGGAAACTCAATATGGTGTTCGATTCAAGCTTATCCACCAAATGATGCCATGAGAACCCAAGCTGTTGTGTGTGAATATGCATTAAACCTTTATCCCACATCAATGAATCCTGTGATAAAGTGATATCATTAATCCCGGGTATGAATATCATCCATACATGGTAGATAGTTTAAACATGGGATTTAAAATGTCAGTATACCCCTTTCTCACGTTCCAGCCCACCTCTTGGTACCACTGGCTCCTGCACAACCTGGGATGGTGCGGAAGCTGCAGCATTTTGAGTTGGGGCAATCCAGAAGTATGGGAAAGAAACGCGCTATATACGTTACATTTTTGGGGGGTCCTGCTACAGGTAGTCCCAAACTTTCTATCTCCTCATTGTAATCCCAAGGCATTCAAACTAGTTTGTTTCAAAATCTTTGTGGTCATTCAGGGTACAAGGATAGCATCCCAAAACCTCTGGTGTTGAGTATGTGTGGTAGCTAGAGGTAAAGTGTTTCACTGCTGATAATTTCGCTGGGGGCGAAGCTTGGGAATGGTGATGATGATGAATGATGATGATGATGATGATGGTGATGATCATGATGATGATGAAGATGCTGATGATAATGATTATGATGATGATGATGATGATGACGAATATGAAGATACTGATGATAATGATTATGGTGATGGTGATGGATAAATGATGACTGGCGTGACTGGAATCAAAATGATAAAGGGTGGTGGTTACAATGTTAAATGATATTGTTTTATAGTGGTGCCAATGCTGATGCTGATGACGGCAAATCTGAGTCGAGGCATGGTGTTGCTGATGATGTGATGGTGACTGTGGTGATGATGATATTGGTTATGATTGTGATGATGATGATGATGATGATGCTGGTGGTAATGACAATGGTATCACTGAACATGTGGCTGGTGATGACACTGATGTTGGTGTCGATGTTGTTGTTGTTGATGATGATGATGGTGATGATGCTTATCATGATGATGATGGTGATGATGATGATGATGATGATGATCATGATGATGATTCCAATGATGATGACGATGATGACAATGATGATGACGATGATGATGATGATGAGGATGATGATGAGGATGATGATGATGATGGTGATGATGATCTGATGATGATGATGATGATGATGATGATGTTGATTTGGAAGAATATGATGATGATGATGAGCTTGATGAAAATGATTTTGATTATTATGATGATGATCATGATGATGATGATGATGTTAATGGTGGTGATGATGATGTGTTTTAAATTGTTTTAAGTGGCCCTCAAATGGGAAAGGCTTTTTTTGTGGATCTCACGCTATATTGTTTTCCTGAAGAAGAGATGCTTTCCTAGGCCGTATCTCAAGTACTTGAAGCAGAAGAGCAAACAAGTGAAGACTGAAGCTCCACCGGTGTAGTGCGATCAGAAAATCCAAGCTATATATATATTATAATATATTATATAACGATTTTTTTCGTTGGATTAGTTGAGACCAATTTATTCATAATATATTATATATATAATATATATATATACTGCTTTTGACATTCATGGCTTGGTACTGATCTTGCCAATCCTTTTTGGTGGAAGCGTGTGTCTGGGGTCAGCCCCGGGCTTTAAGATCCAGGGCTTTGAAAAGGCAGTATCACGCTTCAAGACGATGTCATTTAATTTGCATTTGCGTTTTCATGGAAGCGCTGCTTCTCAGAGCTGCGTCGAGTAGACTCAATAGAGTTTCTGAAGGACCAAAAATTAGCATGCTGCTGTGTGCACTGAGCGTGCACTTGCTAAACATATGGATAAACTGTGTCCCAGTATCAAAATCCAACAAGGTCCTATTGAAAGGGTGTGTTGTTGGCCAGGTGCTTCAGAAGCTGGCCCCATCCTAGAGCATGCAATAGAGGTGGTTGCTGATGGTGTTTCCTGGCTTGGTTATCAAAGTTGCCTTTTTTTTCTAATCGAAGGCCTTGACTGTTCCTGACCATTTTGTCCAGTGAAATCTCCCCCCAATGAGGCTCCGGCAGTGACTGTGGCGCGGCAAACTGCTGCTTTGGCAGCTGAGCATGGCAAGACCTTCGCCAAGAAGGCAATGAGGTCTTTTGGAGTGAGTGTCAATAATGTGCCCCATCTGATATTCAGCACTACGGTTTTCTGTTTGTTACAGCGGGTGATTTAACCCAGCAGAGACATCAAACAAACTAGTGGATGAGAGCTTTTTTTTACCAGGTAGCTGTTCCATTGAACAATGGGAATCAATTCACGCAAATGATCTAAGGCTAGGCGTCTACATGCTCAATTGATCAACAAGTTCAGCCTCTCCTTGAGAGTACCTATTTCTGAATATGTCCATTCTGATGGCCCTGCGACAGCCATCCTTCCATATCTGAAGCCTACAGATTTTCTCCAAACCATGCTGTCAGTGGAGCTTTCCTGGTTGCTTCTTGGTGGTCGCACAGCATCAGATGTTGAAACTGGAAGAGTGCTTGAATCGTTTTGGGCTTGCTACAAGAAGGAGCACCCCGAACATGCTGTTTTTCAACACCCAGAGCGACTGAGCAAAACCTTTCCTATGACTATGCATGGGGATGGTGGCCGTACCCAGAAAAAGCAACCACTTGAAATATTTTCTCTGCAGCCCGTCTTGGGTCTGGACACTGCTTCTCACAGGATGGGCATGTGCCGCTGTGAGACCTCAGCTGCTTATGGTGGTGGCGACTGGTGTGACCCAGCTTCACAACATCTCAACAGCAAGCATTCGACGTATCTGACACACTTTTTGGTGTTTGCATTTCCATCCAAGGCCTACTTAGAGTTTCCGAACATCTTGACTGGGTTACTGAAAGAAGTCATGGACAACTTTGCATCTGCGTGTGAGAAAGGGATTGTCACTCAATCTGGGGATACGTGGTACCCAGCTTGTGTTGGTTTCAAACTTGATATGGAATGGATGGTGAAGGTGGGTTCGCTGACAAGATCCTATCAAAATGTTGGGCATGTGAACCAGAAACCTTGCTGCCATGAGTGTGATGCGGGAAAACAACTCATCCCATTTGAAGACGTGACTGATTGCGCATGCTGGATACGGACAAGATGGGCAACTGTGCCATGGCAAACCATGCCTCCTTGGGCATCTATTCCGTTTGATTCTGGCAAACCCGCCAAGATTTTGAGGCGGGATGCTTTCCATGTGTTTCGATTGGGAATCTGCCGCAACTTTATTGGCAGCACTGTGCACCTTTTGATCTACATGGGTTGTGCCTTGCCCTCCTTGGTGGGCATACTGCAAACCAAAACATGCACACCTGTCCCCAAAAAAGTTGGGAATGAAGCATTGGGGCCTGTGAGTTCTAAAACCCTAACCTGAAAAGGTAGACATTTTCTCTTGAAGTTTTGTATAGTAAAACCACCTTTGAACCTGTGCCCATCTTAGGTTTCAATGAGGCTGGTGACAATGGACAAGCTGCTTGCTTGGCCCGTGCTTTTGCGAATCTCAATCTTTTCTGTTCTGCAAACAACATGAAGATCTACAGCATCCGTGGCTTCACAGTGGCCAACATGCATGCTGCGCGCAACGCGTTCCCTTGGTTGGGGTGCAAGGGGGCTGACTCGATTACAATTTTGAAGTGGATTCGATTTTATGCAGGCTTGCAGCTTCAGCAAAATGGTTGGTCACTCACAGAAAAAAAGGTTTTGGAGTGGATGTTGTCTTGCTCCAGGGCAGGGTTATCCTTTTCGCAGGGGATCCATGGACACGGGATCTGGATGGGGCCATCTTGTGTGTCCCATTGCCGTAGTGCTGTTCAAAGGTTTGGAAACAGCTATGCATACCTCGCTGATTATTGTTTGAAGCAGGGGTACTGCCTCTATGGTATGGTTCCCAAACTCCATTCCTACATGCACTTTCGTACTGATTTCGATGACAGTCTCAAAGAAGGCCGAGAAAACACTCTCAATCCAGCTGTATTTGACAATAGCATGTCAGAAGATTTCGTTGGCCGAATTAGCCGGCAGTCAAGACGTGTCCCTTTCAAAAGAATTGAATGGACGATTCTGCGTTGCTACATGGTGAAAGCTAAACTTCAAATCAAAAGAGTTTGCAAACTTGGCAAACTTGGCAAACGCCGCTGTGTGTGAAAGAAATCTGAGGCATGGACAGAATGAAACCAGAGTTCCAGCGACCGGGCAGCCAAAAAAAGGGCTGGACAGCTGCAGCTGGATGTTGGAGTTAAAACCCAGTTTGGCCACAAATTCAACGGCAATTCTTGCAATTTAGCGGCAGTTTTGTTTTTTACAGGCGGAAATCACATCCCAAAATCCTAGCGGCAGAAAAAGGAACAGGCAGGATTGTTCAGGTATATATATGTGAATGTGTATAATATACAGTAATATATATATATATATATACACAGATAATGGGAAATAATGTGGATGAGATGTAAACAAACCATATGTGAAACTTTGGGGGGTGTATCTAAAAATGGAATAATTATGGGCCCCCGAAATGCCAATGCATCAATTTATTGCGATTTAAAAGAGGGTAAAATATGGTAAAATTGTGAGCATCCAATTTTCAGACATATAGCTAAATGAATTACCCAAATCACGATGGTTTTTGATTTTTGCATAAGGCTGTGATTTTGTATCGGGCAGATGTTCCAAGGTCTCTGGGCAGACGATTCATCCCTGGGATGGTGATCATGAGAGGCTTTTTGTCACTCCTTTCGCCGTGGGTGCCGAAGCGATTCGTTCTCAGGTCTTTCCCAATGCATTGAGAAAGAGAATTTGCAAGTCCCTTGGCGGTAACAAGAACTGTTGAAGCTCCTTGGTAATTTTCTACCATGTCTCCAAATCATGGTCCGAATTGACTATATAAGTTTGGAACATGTTTTTCCATATATTGAGAATAATCATCCCAACTGACTAATATTTTTCAGAGGGATTCAAACCAGGACCACCAACCGTATATATATATAGACATTATACACAATTGCAAGCATATTCATATTACATTAGTTGATGAGGTTGAAGCCAACAAGGAAGCTATGCTTCATGGTGTTATTGGCAAGGAAGCTACACAGCCAGCATCACCACAGACCGCGCTTCGAGGTTGACACGGCTGACTCTCCAAAAGACGATGAGAGCGACAAGGAAAGTGACACCAAGCTTGTCGAAGATGAAGATATCGAGGAGTGGGTCATTTTCACAGAGATCACTGGGCTATGTCAAGGATGGAGGTCATTTCCAGGATCCGGAAGCATCATATTTTGGGGTCAATCAGTTTGAACCATGCAAGTTTGGCACGGTTCTACATGTTTACTCCATTTTTATGCAAATGTTTGACGGTTTTAGAGCCACATTCCAGGCATGGCAGATTTCCAAGCATTTGTGTGTCAAGTGTCAACATTTAAACATGTTGACCCTCAATTTACCTAAAACAGCGTAGTACATTTTTCACAACATGTTGGTACAGACCCATTGTCCCTGTCTTGACAAATCCATGACTTCATGGTGCATTTTCCAGCGCCACATAGCGCCACTTTTTAGGCATTTGATCAACATTAATGGTGTCTTAATCAGCGGCAACAATCCTGTATGTTCACAACTTAACATGTTTTTTTCCACCAGAAACCATGTTGTATGTCGAAAGAATAGATAAAAATAGATAAAGTAAATTGTATAAGTGTATATGAATATACATCATATCATTTCTATAAATGAATATATATATATATATATATCAGTATATATATATATATATCTGTATATATATATTATATATATATATAAATAATACACCTATCAAACCTGAGACACACGTCCAGATCCACATATCGTCCAGGAGAGGTCCTCATGTGTCTCCGAGGCATCGCCATCGGCACTTTCGCGCGATGGCAGGCCATCGCCAAGCTGATCCGATTAGTGGATGATGATTAGTGGTAGTAGTATATACTACTATATTATATTACTATATGGATAATGATATGATGATATGGATAATGATGGTAATCCATATCATTAGTCATATGTGTACTGATATATGGTATATTAATCTATATTATCCATATGATTATAATGGTAGTACATGTTTTTATAGTATATACTATATTATGATTGGTGGAGGATGATGATTAATATAGTGGATGAGGATGATGATGATGATGATGATGATGGTGATGATGATGATGGCGATGATGATATTACTATAGTATATATACATATATAATCATATATATATATATACAGTATATTATCCATACGGAGGTGTCCTAAAATAGAGGTACCAGTTTAACGTATCGTTTTGTACGAAAACAGTTGATGTTGAGTTGTCAAGTATGATGACTTGTAACGGAAACAAACATAATATCAAAGGAAGATGAAATTTGATAAGTTTGATTTCGACCCATCCCCAAAATAGAACTGGGATCAGCATCTAAAATTATGTACAGTAAGTACAATAAGAGTAACGTTCAAATCGGTAAGTCAAAATTTTCAGTGGACTTCACTGAAGCTGCTTTTATGCCTGAAAATATATAGCTATACCCAACTGTTTGAATCTCCAGATCTGTCCTTGAATATACTACCCCTTTTTTGATTTTGTGGTGGTTCTATTGCTTCGGTAGGACCACCATTTTTTATAGTCTAAGGTTAATCCCCATCCAGCCATCATGTTGGGCGTTTTTATTTGTCACTTCGGTCAATACACCCCAGGTCTGCTGATGATAACCCCAAACATCATCAAATCTAAAGGTTGGTACAACATGGTACAACAGTAGTAGGCAGTAGCTCCAGTGTGCTGATGGTACACGCGCCTCAGCTGAATGGCTCAAAGGGCTCTTTTGGAGCATGGGGCAGTGGATGAAGAGCGGTCAACTTTGTCAAGCGCAGCCTTAAAGGTTAACTGGTTGGTGACTGTCATATCATAAAATATCATATATATATATGTATCCAGTTAAAATATCAAATTTAGCCTATGATTACTACTGTAGAAGCAATATCTCATTTGGTCAGGACGGTCAGGCATGAATGAGCCAGGTCGGGACCGACTAAGTAGGCAGTTTTGCTTGGGAACCTAAAGAGCAACTTGGAATAACTTGGAGGTGGATACGTTTTGATTCGAAAGATATGTACAAAGTAGTGACCCCAGTGATGTTTGGTGTTTATAATCCCCACTATAGTCATGCTATATCTACCATACACCATAGAATTTGGCTTGTGAACTGTTTACCAACTTAGCCACAACTGCTTCCAGTGCACGGTGCTTCTCGATGATGGCCATGTTGCCCAAAGAGGTGTGGCTGGTTGCACGTTTGGCTTCACGTCTGGATGAGCTGGCGCGATCGTTGCGGGCGGCCTTCTCGCTTGGAGCGTCATGTCGTGTTCCTCGGCCCAGTGCTGTCTCTCTGATGAGTTCACGTGTTTAGTCAAATCAACAGGGATAAGGCGGATAAGGGATTACTGATACCCTCTGGATCCCTCTGGATCCCTCTAGAAATCAAAGATGGCCATGGAAAATCACTTGAATTGGAACTGGAAGATCACGGAACATCTGGACAATTGTGGATGTTCCAGTACCAGTTCTGAGTCTTGTTGCGCACCTCATGATTCATTTCGGGGCATATTGATTGGTGCTGAGGTCATATTGATTGATGGCGATTCTCATAATTTGCTTCACTTGCATGAAGTGGACTTTGCAACAGCTATCTCAGAAGAGGCCCTACGAGCCTACCATCTGTTTTTAGGTCGCCATGTGCAGTGACATGCAGCGACATCTGTTTCTGGAGTCTCCCGGATCCGGAGAATGCAAGGTTGGATGTTTCACACCTTGGGGCTGCGATTTGTCATCCCTAATGCTAATGCCTGTACGATACTTGTGTAATCTTGTGACTTGTGTAATTATGTATAGTGTAGTTGTTTTTCCAAATACATGTTGGGGAATCGGTTGAAACCACCCATGTGACAAGTTGACTCCCTGGGCCCAATTGATTCTGTGAATTGCCAGGAAATCCTTGAGATCATTCGCAAGATGGTCAGTGCTTCCCAGGCTCAACGTTGCATGTGTTTCTTTCACGATGTTTCACGAAGACAATGTGCTATGTATATTGAGGATCAGGGTAAATATATAGAGGTGTTTAAGCTATATATATATATATAATATGTTTTTTTGTTATTATAAAATGATTATGTATGTACATATCATTTTGCCTGAGTTGGCAGTATCTTGCCAGTGAAGCCCCTATTGTATCTCCTGTATATCTCTCATTAGTATAGTTATTTTATTCACTGTTATTACTAATGCCACATATTATACATTTTTTTGTTATGTGTGCATTAATCATGTCTTATCCTCTCTATATATATATTATATTATATTATATTATATATATACGACAGGGACGCTAAGTTCTCCGAAACATCATGTTTGTGTTCGATTGGACATGTATAAAATTGTGTTTTCGCTGTGGTAATTTGCTCATTTTTGAACATCGTCTATCTTCTGCACAATGTCATGGTTCACAGACTATTTTTTTCTCGTCCATTCAAGTTGAAGCACAAAATGCATTCTTCATTGATACCCTCTATCCTGGAATTGTTCATTTTCCCTGTTTGTTTTTTTTGTTTAACATGTTCACGTTTATATATATATATATATTTACATATATATATATATATGAAGCAAAATGCCAAATTCATTGGGAAACAGCAGTCAAAATGAGAGAGGGTTGTTTTGCATTGGTATTTGGATTTGCAGTATTCAAAAGCGTTGTGAACCGAGCCTCATGTTGATATTCAGGTTTTGTTGTTGTTGTTGCTGTTGCTGTTGCTGTTGTTGTTGTTGTTGCTGCTGTTGCTGTTGCTGTTGCTGTTGTTGCTGTTGCTGTTGCTGTTGCTGCTGTTGGTGTTGTTGTTGTTGTTGTGGTTGTGGTTGTGGTTGTTGTTGTTGTTGCTGTTGTTGTTGTGGTTGTTGTGTTTCATATATTTCTTTGGGTATGATGTTGTGTTTGCAAGTTCTTTTTGTCATTCCCACGGTGCCTTTGAAAATACCTGACTGACAGGTCTGTAGGAAGTTTCCGCATACTTTCTGAAGCGGGCCAAAGCTAACAACACGGAGTTGAGTCCTGGGTTTTTGCTAAGACAATGTACAGCCAAGACATGTCTATGCTCGATGGGGTCCCTGACATTGCGACTCAAAACGTGCCGTCGAAGTTGGCTCTTGGTGACACTAGCAAGGCTCTCCGCTACCTGATCTCCTCCCACAATTATGAAGACATGAGGGGTCTCTTTGCAGCAACCTTGACGAACCAAGTCACGAAACAAGTTTGTTTCTTCTTGAATTTTCTTCACATGACTTAAGAGGAGTGAACAAGTGGCGGAGATGAGAGATCACTGACACTCTCCAATTCTGGTGTTCCAACTGCTTTTGCAGCTGCATCGCCGTGCTTCCATCACCAGGACGTGTCTTTTTCTTCAGCAAAGCTTCACCCTTCCTTTCAGCAGCTTTTCGTTTCCGCTTGGCATCTTTCAGTTCCTCCGGAGTTGCATTGCGTCTTACAGTGGACGTTGCCCGTATCATAATATCTTCCATCCACGACTGGATCCTCCTGCAGCCCACCCCTTCCAAAGTGTGCGCCATCGCATCAGGCGGGGTGCGAATACCAACGCGGTAACAGCATCGCACAAAGTTCACGAAGTCTGGATCTTCTTGACCTCGACACTGACTATGTAATGGAGTGACGGCCTCAACAGGTTGAGACAGTCTCGGGTGAGCGTAGCAGTTCCGACTTTGACAAGCCAGTTCATCATCCATTCTTCTGCCAGTTCTAGTCAGGTTCACAAGAGGAACACAAAGGCACGTCAGCAGACAAAACGTTGTGGTCCCACAAAAACTTCTTGCAAGTTTTGCTGCCCCACTGACACAATTCAGGATATGAACTTTGCATAAATTTGCTGCAAATCCCTGAGTCTCTTCGCAGAGGGCGGAGAGCCACCAGAATACGTCAAACCCAACTTCTGATGCTGCGCATTGCTTCGAGCGCTAGCTCTCTTGGATAAAAATGGCTTTGTTTTAGACAAAGTTCCAACGTGTTGTTTCTTGCGCATGGTCAAAACTGTGCAAAGAAGAACTTATGGGATTATCCATCCAACAATCCAATTCAAAAGTTGCTTTCGTCATATGATGTTCAAAATCGAACTCGGTAGACTGCTTCCGGTTATGTTTTATTCATACTCATGTCATATCGTCTATATATTGAAACTATATATATTAATAAGCAGCAACGCGACCTGCAGACAAGACCCAGTGCCCCCACGAGATCCCACGAGCTGAGTATCGCACCTGCAGCGGAGGGAAGATATAAAATCTATATATATATATTAACATAGTTTAAAAGGTATAAGTATAAGCAACTATGTTTCACCTGCATATACAATTAAGAAAATGGAAATCAAATCTAGAATCCAAAATATATCATATGTCTTTATATAATATATATATACACGTATACTGACATATCTCCTGAGAGGCCTGACCTATCCATTGACACCCCACCCCACCCCATATGCTGATGTAGAACATCTTCAGCGTAGCATCACATGTTTGCCGACCTGACAGTCAACGTGCACGTGCGTACCATCACACTTGTACGCAAGTGTACATGACGTTGTTACCCCCCTATCCCATCCGAGAAGTCCACGCCCCTCGGGTATATATATATATATATTTATTTATTTATTTATTTATGTGGTATATATGTTTTCTCCCAGGAATTCCTGTTTCCCACTAGTATGACCGCAGTTGTTTTCGGTGAAGATCATTTGGTCTGTTAAGCAATGCGTAGATTGCAGGCAAGTGATGGCCTTTCTACGGCGATCCAGCGCTTGGTCGAAGAAAGTGGAACTGACGGCAGCGCTTCAGTGCTTTTCCTAGATGAGGCTGCAGAGGACTGCTGTGAGATCTCCAAGGGCCCAAGGGCCAAAGTCACGGGGTTTAGGGTATGCACTATGCGAAGATTATAGTATATGTGTGGTATATTAGTGTGATATATCACCATAATAGTTATTAATAGTAAATAATAGAGATATACTATCTGGTTGGTGGTTTGGAACATGACTCTTATTTTCCATTTCATATATGGGATAATCCTTCCCAATTGACTTTCATATTTTTCAGAGGGGTTGAAACCACCAACTATAGGTATATTAGTGGGATATATCACCCCAACAATGTGATTTTTGGGTGTGAACATGGGGTTTCCCTCAACTCATGGCCACCTAAAATCATTTTATGGGTGCTGTATATTTCGAGGATATACTGTGATAAGTGTGTCAATTTGTGGTATGTGATACTCCATGTAAAGGCCAGGTTGTCACATGTAGTGTCTGCTGCCATTTCGGCTATCAGGGCCCTTGAGCTACATCGCTATCGCTACTAGCAAAAAGAGCCGCGTTGGACTGCACGATGCCGTTGCCAATTCACATTGGTAGCGGAGCAGGTGACGACCTGTCTCCGGGTACGTGTCAGATCCAGGGATTGAAAATAGTAGAAGTTTGAATCGGATTTGTTCTTGGAACTTTTTCTGCCGAAATTGTCTGATCCCTGTGGGACAGACCTGCAATTGGCTGACCTTGGGTATAGGCAGTCCATCGCAAAGGAATTGTAGAAATGTCAGTAGCTGGACTTAGGTTTGGTTCTGACCGATCCACTGTGCCCCTAGAGACCAAGAGTGGATCATACATATACCATGGGGATGCAGCACATTATCATGATTGGGAATTCCGGACCCTTTTGCGAATAAAGCTGTTTGATTCAAAGAAAGATGTAGAATCCTCCCCAACCGGAAGGAGTGCCGAGCCCGTTGGGCCGGACTCTGAAGCTGATGCTGGGATTTCACCCCATCCGCGCCCAGGCCGGCCAGATGACGAAGCCGGAGCCTCTGCCAGTCGAAGCCCTAAAGGGGATGACACGGGTCGAGATCGTAGTGTCTTAGTCAACAAGGTCGTAGAAGGTCTTCGAGGTGATGCCTTTCTCATTGCCAGAGATCTCGGTTTGGAGACTCTGTCCCAAGAGGAAGGTCTTGAACGATTGGTTGAACGAATCAAGGCCCATGTTTTTCCCAGAGCTCAAGAAGAAGCCAAAGAACTCTTCCGAGCAGGGCAGAAAGCAGGTGGAGTTTTGTCCCGACAACCCCAAGAACCCATGCTGAGTTATACTCAACGCAGACGCAGATGGTGGAGAGTGTTGACCGAGCTTGATCCTTCCATGGCACTTTCAGATGGACTCCGTATGGAGCTCATGCTTGAACTGTCAGGTCTGAGCCGGCAAGAGGTACTGGTCGTAAAAGCATGTGCCACCACCAAGGACTTTGAAGGAGTTGCTAAGGTGTTGGTTGATCAGTATTCAGGAATCCATTTGAGGGAAGGATCCAAGTCTTGGGTTGGACGTTCATCTACCCCACAACAGTATGGGAAGTCTGGTAAGGGATATGGAAGTTCCAAAGGACCCCAAAGTGGTAAAGGTTCCTACAAGACAGCCTACAATGCCTATCCCGATGAGGAAGGCTATGGTTATGGTGACTATGATGAATACCAAGAGGAATACTATGAAGAGGATGCACCATACGTAGGTCTGCTTGGTGGGATCGAGGAACATCCAGAACAATCAAGTCCAAATGTTGACAATCCCTATGAAGCCTTTGACTTTCACGACGAAGTTGATGAGTATGAAGCCACTGCCCTGAATGCACTAGTGGATGTAGGAGATGAACCAACTGAAGATGACAAGAGCCTTGGGGAAGCTCTCCAACTCCAACTAGCTGCATTCGCAGCCTTCGGACGTGTGAAAGGAAAGGGTAAAGGTAAACCCAAAGGAAAAGGGAAAATCATCAGGTCCAACTTGTCCATCGAACAGCGCAGGAAGCGCCTTTCCGAGATTAAGGCCAAGTCGAAATGCCTTCGCTGCGGCGCCTACGGGCACTGGGCAGGTGACCCCATTTGTAAATTCCCAGGTGCAAAGGGGAATGCTAATGCCAAGGATTCAAAACCCCCATCGAATCCTCCTAGGCCAACAGCGCACTTTGCAGACTTCTCGGAATCTTCATCAGATGAGGGAGTTTTCTTGAGTGCATCATCACCCAAAACACCAGTTGCAAACATGGCCATCAAGAGTGCAGCTGCCCTTTCAAAGGCACCCAGTTTGGGACCTCCCACAACTCCGGTAGGACGAAATGACCCGTCAAAACCTATTGGGAGTAACACGAAGTTCAAGTTTGGCCAGTTTAAGGGGAAGACGTTTTGGGAGATCTTGCGTGATCATCCTGACTACTTTGCATGGACACAGAAGAACGCCAAGAGTCCAGGAGCCTCAGAGTATGCCGAGTGGGTGAACCAAAACTTTGAGTATCGGGGGAACATAGTGTATCGCAGAAGTAGTTTGGAGCCACCACCACCTCTTCCAAAGCAACACACACGTTTGAGGAAGCCACCGAATCCACCAAAGGAGAAGTGTGCCAATTGCACCCAATTCACTCGTCAGGGGAGTACGGGTTACACCATCAAGGAGACATGTCTGGTTTGTGGCCATTCAACTACTACCAGGAGAGAACTACTCCCCCAATATCCTTATGACCAGTGTCCACATGAAGACAAGGATTTTCGTGGTTCTTCAAGGTCTGTTCACCGAACCTTTTGTAAGCAGTGTTGCACGTATCTGGATGAGACTCCGATGGAGCTCCAAAGGACCCGAAAAGCAGTCTCCACCAAAGTCTTGGAAGCACCCCTGGAAAGAGTTTCCATCATTGAACAACTGGTTGATGATTCCAAAGATGCGACCTTTAGCCCCGACATGCTGGACATGATCCTCAATGATTTTGCCACCTTAGTCGCCACCAGTTCTGAATCTGAGGCCATCACTTCGACCAAGCTGCATGAACTTCTCCACCAATCCATCGCCAATGCAGAAGGAGACAGCAGTTTTACCATGGTTGGTGATGTGGAAAACCCTGGGGAAGATTTTGCAGGTCTCGGAGTGTGTTTTCATGGGGACGAGCCAGATGTAGAGATGTCTGATGGCTTGGTGCATGTGTTCCAAGAGACCCGTGACATGTACGACATGAGTGATCCCAATATCTATGTCGTGTTGGATGAGGGGTGTAACTCAACTTGTCACTCCAAACATTGGGCTGAGGTAGTAACTGCCAAGCTGAAGAACTTGGGATACCAGTTTCCATTCAATGACACCAAGGGGAAAACCTTCTCTGGATTGGGGACCGGGGGAACCTCGACCGAGGGATCCCGTACATTGCCTTTCAGCCTGAATTTCATGGACAGCAAGTGTACACCCATTCATGGGGTACTTGAGACGCATCAACTTAGCTCCGGGACATCACCACTCTTGCTGTCACTGCATGCTCAAGCCCATCTTGGACTTGTCAAGGACTTGAAGAATGGAACAGTATCCATTGATGGTAATCAGTTGCCAGTTTTCAGATGTTCTCATACAGGTTTGATGATGTTAGCAATCACCCCAAATCAAATTGATCCGACAGGAAAAACGTCCAATCACATTTCACAACAGATCCCAAAGTGCCACAGAAGGTTTCGAACTGCCTTTGCCGCCCTATCCGACGAGCCTGGTTCGCCGTTGGCCAGTGAGATGTTGAGGTCTCCAAGTGGCTACAGCTCGTCAAGCGCAGATCACATCGAAGGTGCCGTGAACAACTGCCTGAGGGGACTGAACAGATCGCGATGCCTTGTGGTCACTTCAGGTGCTCGTTGGACAGGTCGACAGCCAAGCTTCCCTGGTGCTAAGGTTCTTCAGATTGACTGCAGGCATTTCCATGATCCTGACAGCGACAGATCGATCCGAGGTTGCACTGGACGACATCCTAGCATTATCCGAGGAGTTGCACTTCATGAGGCAATGAATGACCTCGTTGAGCAGGTGACAGATTTCTTGAGGGCTAACCCGAATGGGAAGCTCGTGATCCACTTGTACTGCACCAGTGGTCGTCATCGCAGTGTTGGATTAGCAGCTTTGATCTACTACTTCTTGGACGTGACTGATTGGAGGAAGCCTTTGCTGATCCATTATCACAGCCCGGAGTGGCGTGAGATGACTTGTGGAGGTCATTGCAGTCTTTGTGCAACAGCCGACACCAGAGAGCTTGGAAACTTGATGAACAGACATCTTCCTGACGTGCGTGTTGTGGATGTGGATGAACCTGATAGGTCATCAGGAGTTGCTAGGCCGCCTGAGCCTGTTAGGCCACCGGCACCAGGGCCTACTACAACGGCGACGAGATCTATCCCCACGTTGACACCATCCAGGACTGTGCCAGTTCCAGTCCGTGCTCCTATGACACCATCCTTTGGAGGTACATCGACGAGAACGCCTTTGACACCCAGGTATGTTCCAGCATATCCACCTCCAAGCCGTAGTGCTGGAGACTCATCTCGTGGAGGAGCACATCACGAAGGAGACGAACGAGGCCGTGATTATGGAGGACAAGACCGAGACTTAGCAGTACAGGTTCTTGCTAATCAGGTCCAGGAGCTCTCAGGTCTTGTGAGACAGGTGCTTGAAGGAGAACGAGCTGATCGTGGAAGGACCAGAAGAAGATCCTCTTCGAGCGGCAGGCGTGGTCGGCGATCTCGAAGCAGACGCCGTGTGTCATCTCCAAGGGTACCTTCTCCAAGGACCCCTCCATCACCACCGAGGCCACCGATTCGACGCCCATGTGATGAGTCTCAGCGTCAGCGACTTGAGAGGGAACTCCGCGACATCTTGAACGACAACAGCGGAGACCCATATTGCTGGAATGTCGATGAAGACATCCTTTCTTGGATCATCTCTTCTGCAAAACTGTGGGGAAACAGAGATCGGGTGATCTGGATTACAGACCCCAGCCTTCCTCATGAGGAGCAGCAGCAAGGCATCAGGGTGG